ATTTTCATGTATATTATGAATTTGAACTTTAGGCATACCATCATATAAAAAAAAGTATTTCTTAAACCAGAAAAGACCCAAACGTATACAAGAGAGCTAGCAGACTACAAATGAGGAATGATTTAATGATCATTAAGTGGGTTTTCCAGAGATGCGGTTATATCAATAGTCCGACTACATAATTCAAGTTAGAACAAGGTGTTTTGTGGCACCTTTCCTCTTCCCAACACTGAAGAATGGCCTCTAACCACACAATAAAGTGATCTGCAAAGGCAACAGGCCAAAAAAGTTTCTCCTCTCCTACAAAACAAACTGATGCTGGAGGTTATATTCCACTAGCACCAACAGCTGGATGATCTCCACCCCATTATTTTCAATCTTCACCTTTAGAAACTAAAATATGACAGTCAGCTGCTATTATAGCAGCTCTTCCTGAAATTAGAGCCAAGACAGGTCAGTCTGTATCAGAAAAATGCCAGAAGAAATGCAAAGATGGAATGTACTTGATTAACAGATGTTCATCAGGTGTTAGCCCTAGCCACGTTTCATGGTTCATGTTTCAGCCACCCACCAAGTTCATTCTTTGTTTTATGGCATGCAAGTGACAGCAATACACTCAACCTCTATGGACGAACGGTATCGTTATAATCCTTCCCAGTACTCTCCATGTAATACCAGCAAAGTCGTCATGTTACTACTAAACAAGAACTTTCCCGGTCTGGGATGGGGTCATGTTTCAGAGGACAGCGGGTGAAAACAATAGCCTCTTTCTTCTGCCCTTCTCCCCCACAGTTTCCCAAAGTCTTGGCTCCCAGGCCACCTCGTTCTCATGACAGAGATGTTCCTGAAGGACTTTAGGCCATGCTGGACTCTGCAGCACAAAGTGGTCCTTGTACCCTCCTCTGCTATTGGGACCCTCCCACCACAAACCCTTCCTTGCCCCACTCTGCTTCCCTCCTTCCTCAGAGCGCGGGACTGTTATCAACATTTCTGTATGTTCCGGGAAACAGGCAGATATCAGAACAGCCTAATCCGTTAAAGAGAAAGTGCAGGGGCAGAACACACCAAAAGCAGCAGGAAGCTCCAAAACATGGCTGAACCACAACCATTTGCAGTAGAGTCAAATCCAGGGAAGCTGGGTTAGTCATAGCCAGCCAGCACAGACTGAAAGCCATTGAGCTCTCCATATTACTACTATTCTAAATTTTGACTAAAATATTTTAAGTAACTGTTTCCTAGGCACCTTTGAAGTTATTTAGATAACTCCTAGTGATCTACCTATGCTGTAAGAGTAATGCTTTTAGCATTGTCTCACATCAAAAAAAGGGCACTAGAATTTTTAGAGGGTCAAAAGGGAACTATGACAGTTGACCAACTGTTTTATTAGAAGTGGCACTTAACGCCTTATAGTTCTCTGTCAATCTCAGCTTTCCCGATCAGTAAAGCATAAACTTATGCATGAGATTCACCTGGTTATAGGAAATGAAATTTCTTCCCGATGGAGATAACCTATGGAACAGTGATAAGAGTAACTGAAGTCCTAAAAAGCAACCAGTGAGAGATGACAGAGAATTGAGGTTGTGTGGCTCAGAAATGATATGGTTAGGAATGAAGGAGGGTTGGGGGAGTAACAAGTCGTCAAAGATTTAAGATGCTGCAGGGAGAACAATCCTCATTGCTGTAGTGGACAGGTAAACTTAAGTTACAGTGATGAAGATTCAGGTTAGAAAAGCTTTGTCTAACAAAGGCTAGTGAAAGTGCTGAAGCAATTTTTATGATTTACATGAAACATAGCTGTGCTCCAGAATCCCACCATCTCAAGACAGTTTTATGTAACAGTTGCAAAGAAACCAGTAAGCAGTGAGGGAAGAGGGCTTAGACCCATGCTATGCATCCCCACCACCCTCTACAACCCAGGTGGTCAGGAAGGAGGTGGCAGGGGAAGACCAAATGGGGAAAAGTGGATTCTGGTTTGCCCAGAAGGGTCACAGTCAATTCACTGTGTAATAAAGGGTCCAAGCATTTTCTTATGCCCTGTTTATTCCTCCAGGTGCTTACAGGACTTCTTTTTAATAAAGAAGCCTGTTTAGACATGCTGTGCTGCATATCAGACAATAACTGTCTCTGTAAGCTTGCTGCATAGTCCAAGTCTGAAGAACTTACTAATGACATTTAGACTCCAGTTAGATGAACATTAAAAATAAAAACCCATTTGCTTGTTCTGTTTAACCTCATTCAATTTTATAGACAAGAATTTTCATCAAATTCAACAGAACTACAAAACAGACTGGACTCTTAAAAAACTGGGGCTTAAAAAAATAAAACAAAATACCCTCCCCTCTCCCCCAAGTCTGACACTGAAGGGCACTGCTCAGTCACTTCAGTCACCTGCAGTGAGCATTTCCACTAAAACTCTTTGTAAAGATAGTAGTTTGATATAGAAAGTTCATTGCAGTAATGACAAGAAACAACAATCTGAAAGGATTATTAAAAAGCACGCCTGTTGAATTGTTTAAGCATCGTTAAAACTAGACAAATGACAAAACAGTTTTGAATCCAGTCTGATATTTTGCATTTTAAATTTTGAATCTTTCAGAACGTTTGGAAGATTCACTCAAAGCGCAAGTGCACAATCTGGCTTTCCAGTGGCATCCTAAATGATGTACAAGAAAGCACTTGCATGTTGTCATTTTAAGCACAGAAGTTTCACTCAGCCTACCAGTTTTCCCTGCATACACCTGTATGAAAACACAAAAGAAGAAAGTCCTGACAGAGATGTTTGTCTTTACTGCAAATAAATGCGAAAGTAATTCACTGCAATTACACTGGATAAGACATTTCAGACAAACTGAAAAAACTACAGTAAAAGGGCCACTGCCTGGTTTGCTAATGCATGACCTAAACTAAGGTTCAAGCACGTACTCCACAGTTCTTAAGTGCTCTGAATGCACAAATAAGCAAAAGAATTCAGTTTTCTACTCCATTGTGAAAATCCTTAGAGCTTTTGCTTTAATCGAGTTTGGTAATCAGACAACAAGATGTTTGATCAAAGGAAAAAACTCACTAGGGGAAAAAACAGCTCAGCAAAAGTATATAGAATTTTTAAAAATTCATGCTTGGGAGGTTTTAGGCATTTTTGGCACTGACTGTACACTTCCCTTCCAGAGATCCTGACTCTGTACGACAGGCAGCAGAACCTACTGCCACTCACGTTAGTCTAACACAACACACCAGGATGCAGCTGAGCACTGGCACACGCTCAGTGCAGCCAGAACTACAAAAATCAGACAACTGGGGCTAGAAAAGCCTTAAGAATTGCCACATGGTGAGTTGCTAGGGCTCCTCTGCTCCAGCTCCAAGAGGCTAGCTCTGCCTAAGCGTGCTGCAGCAGGCAAAGGATGGCACTGGCCCCACCGCCTACCCTGTGCCTCTGCCTGGTGGCACTGCCCCAGCAGACCCACCGCGCACCCGCGCTTGGCTGCTGCAGCTCGGCCTGCCCACCAGCAATGCGGATAGGATCAAAAGACATGAAGACATCAAAAGAACTCCAGGAGCTCAGTTTATTTAGTTTATCAAAAGTTTATATAAATATCTTCATAAAGAACAAAAATTTGACAAGCATTTTTCAGTTCAGCAACACAGTCATGAATGCTCTAGCTAGACAAATGAGCAATAATATACAAAGATTTAAGGGAGAAGGAAGGGTCATTCAATCCTTGTTAGACAGCCTTACTTTTAGTATTTAGCAGATGCATCCTGATAGGAGGTTATTGGGGAAAACTGAGTTTTATTTTAATACCTATTAACGGACAAGAGACCTGAATGGAGTAAAATTAAGCTATGACAGGCTATGAATAGACATATTTTCATAAGCTGTAAGTCTAAATGGCACTTAAATTGCTGTATATATGCATGTGAAATTTCATCTGTTTCCATATGCAAGTGATCAACTATATGAAAGCCTGGCTAGATGCCTACAAAAAGTGTGCTTTACCAATGAATACACAAACAACTGCACACACATTTGCAACTCTGAGTCTATTATACATTTAATGCACACAACTGTTCTCAATATAGAGGGAGGAACCACATTTCTCACTATAGAGGAGCCCTAGTTCTCCAAAGCTTCAATGCTCTCTCCTAAACATACGCGTAAATCCATCAGTATAACAACATGGATGGTAAAGCCACAGTATCTTGACTGTTAGGCTTTTAGCTGTTCCTGAACATCTGAGAGCTCATTTTAAGAATAATGGTCAGTTAATAATCTGCCATATTTGAAAAAAGCTGAGAGTCCCCCCCCCCCCCCCCAAAAAAAATCAAATGAAAAATCTGCACAAAACTCATCCCTCTATTATGAATACAGTTTTCAGTTTAAGCCTGTAACTTCCACAAGTCTGGCAAGGACTTGTTGCCACCTAGCGGATTATCATTGACAAAATACATTTGGTCTTGGATACAAATACCACTAGATGGAGTATTAAAAAAGAATTCTGGATTTGCATTATTGTAAATGTCCAGCAGCTAGGATTTTCAAAGTCTCAAAAAGTTACAGGTCCAGGATTAGAAGAGGATTTTATGAACTGCTTACAATTGTATCAGAAATCCCAGGCTATGAGAATTTCCAAGTATAATTCTGATACACTTAAGATACTTTCACGTTAATATAGTTTACCAGCACCTCAAGTTTTTCAGTCATTGTATCACTATACCACACAAGCATCTACTTTACAGCTTCCATTGACACATCTCTAGTGGGAAAACACTTTACACAGCAGGGTTATACTGGTGTAAACACTGATACGCAGACCTGCTCCATGCTACTTTCGGGAGAAAGAGCTTATCAGGTATCCTGATACCAGCATCCCCACCTCTGTGCATAAGCATTAGCTGTAAAACTTCTCAAAGTTTGTACAGTGAAGTATGAGTTCACCGCTTTGGTGAATCTCAGAGTAAGAAATTCCACTTCATCATATGGGGCAATAAAAAGTGGTACTTACTACCCATGGAGTTCATAGGAAGGACAGGAGAAGAGGAACTCATCTGCTCCACATCTGTAGCTAATGGGAAAGTGAAAACAAGATTGTTATGTGCATTTTACCAAGTGCTTTAAAAAAACTTTTATTTTGAAGTTATTTTTACATTTAAATGAAGATATGCATATCTTCATTTATCTGTAGACGGAAGTTGCTTTGAGAAGCAGTTAACTTCTAATAACGCTGTCCTTTCCTCTTTTAAGAGATTTTTCTCTCACATACACATTATCTCCAGATCTACTTTTCAGAGCAGCCATTTCTAACCTGGTAACTTGAGATGGCTTGAGAACAATCACATGAAAACAATTTTCACCATGAAGAAATCCTAAATACGGTCAGCTTTAAATTGCATACAATATCAACTTCTAAAATGGAGCTTTACTTTGGAGTGAAAGCAGAGGATGGTATCCCAGCTGTACCTGGACTGCCTTCAGAATATTCCTTATCACAAGAGAGCTCCCCTTCCACAGGTTTGCAAAATGCTGGCATCACTTCACGTTTGACCTGAAGGAGCATCAGAAACAAGCGTCTCTGAAGACAAAGATATTCCAAAAGCTTTGTTTTCTGTAACAGTTGAAAGAGGAAACAAAACTACCTTCCTATGTTTTGCTAATTAAACAAAACCAAATCAAAGTCAGAACCTGATCTGAATCAAGTGCCACATACTGTCTGCATTTTGGGAAGGATCCACCTTTCCAAGACCCAAACCAGGAAAACAACTATTTTCCAAGAACAGAGTAGGTTTTAATCTAAGCAGATCAGGTAAAACAGTGATACAGTCTCTTTGGGGTTTGATCTCTCACACCTTTTTTTTTTTTTTTTTTTAAATGGACATTCAGTCTCATCACATTCCTACAAACTCCCAAGTTATCCAGCAAAAGTCTCCATCATTTTGATGCTAGCAGATACCAGGTCATTGTATGTAATTCTCACATTTAGCTTTAAGACCCAAGAAATGCATACTACAACTTTACATTCCTCAGCTATAGAATACAATCTTAGAAGCATAACTTCAGCCCACAGCCAGGGCTTGTAATTGGTCCAAATATTGTGTTTTACACTTTTTATAGTTCTGATTTATTCAGCAGCACGCCATTCACTGAAGACTACTGTTTACCACTAAAAAGTACAAAGTTTGGGTCTAATTAGGCAAACTACAAACAAACGTAAAAACTTTAGCAGACCATTTTTATAGCACATGACAAGCAGACATAGCACCATGCTTATGTTAACCTAATCCTTGTACCACACTTTTGTGCCACACCTATCAAGAGCACTTCACTTAGGAACCTGCTCTGTGGTTTCACATATCAACATGCTAAGTACCAGCCACAGTCAAAGAGCCACAATAAAAACAATGACAGGTTTATTCAAAATGCCATGGGTTATGCTTATGCTATTCTCTGTTAAAATTATGGAGTTATTTCTGAACAAATTCATTTATATCTGACTTGTCTCTTACTTGCATTTCTTACACCAGCCTTTGGAAAGCTGCACGCAACACTGCTGGACTGCAGCATTTCTGACAGTCACTCACACTGTGGAGTATATTTTTCAACTGCTTACAGGACCAAAAACTGGTTCTGTATCTTCCTGTTTTCTACTTTATTTCTATAACCTCCCTAACGCAGGGATTGCTAACCCCCAAAAGAGTTAGCAGGTCATAAACCATATCCTTTTTTTTTTTTTTTTTTTTTTTTAAGTAAAAAGATTCTTCACATGCAATACAGCAATTTCAGATACCTGTAAAGAGTTTAGCATTTTCTTCTCTATAACAGATATATATATCCTTTCCTATATAGCCAAAATAACCTGAGAAGTTGTAAGTGTGGCATTAAATTTGTTCTTCTGAGAATGGTAAAGATTTAGAGTCCATGTAAGTATCAGTATTGTGCACAACTCAGCTTTCAGAAAGGTTGAAGTAGCAGATTAGCAGATGGTCATTTAGAGGTTACCTGCTGCTCTTTGGCAAAAAGAGGTCAACTGCCCCACAAGTCAGCCAGATGGCAGAGAGCAGTCGCAGAGCGGTCAGCAGCAGCCTGTACTACTTGAGAAGCGATTGTGTGAACAACAATCACTTAGGGCAGTAAGCTACACCTGCAAACATCTGGAATAATTTATCAAGTATCAGTCAAAAAGCAACCAAATAAAGCATGCGCCTTCTGAAGAGAAATTTCTGAGTGGTAAGCATTTAGGGAGAGATCCGGTTTAAGATTCAAGTCCACTAGTTTTCTAGATTGTTCACCATAACATCACATTAAGGGTTATGAACAACAGAAGTGTAATAATATTTCCTAGCTATTCTTAGAAAGGGTAATTTCAATCAATGCTTGAAGTTATGTAGATTTTTTTTTAAATTACTATTTGCAGTATGTTCACCAAGGCTAATACACTATGGTCACAACTGTCTCATTGTTCAAGTTTGATGGTACTAGAATTCACTTGATGTTCTCTCAAGTATTGCTAGCAACAAAATAATGCCCTGCTCAGTAGCTGGCTGAGCTTCCACAAACTGTATGAACAGGAAACAAGTCTAGTATGGGGAAAAAGCAGTAACACTTAAAAATATTGCTATTCTTGTACTACTGGGAAGGCTATTTAGAACCTATTAATCTCAAATCATGCTTCAAAAAGCTTTAAAACAACTTTATAAGAGTGCAAATAATTATACTCCAAGGTGCCTTGAATAAGTGGACTTTAAAATCTCTCATCCATGTAAATTAATATTTAAAAAAATTCAAACAGCTTTTTATAAAACATGCGAATACCATTTTTCTCTTCTTATCCATTTCCCTCACCCTCCTCTCCAGTCCTTTCATTTCCCTAATTATATGCAACACATTAAACTCCTAAAAACAATTCAGCTAAGAGAGGAGATATGAATTAACAACCCACTAAAATTTTGGGAACAGGTTTGCCCTAAAAGATGAAAAGGACAAAAGTCTGCTCAGCTATGAAGAACAGCTGCTACCAGCGCAACTATTTACCCTCTGACCTTTCTGCTGCCCAATACGAGAACAGTGCCAATTGTTTTCTAGTATTATATACTGTTTACAAGCCCTGAGTGGCATGAAAGGAATTAATAATTTAGCTCATGGAGCTGATGACCTTTATTGGGGTACCTCCTATTTGCCGAGCAGAAATCAGAGCAAAAAGCTGCCTTGAAGCCACAGGGTTGCTTTAAGAGTTTCTCACTTTACAACCTAATTGGCCACCATAACATAAATCAATTATTTCTCCTGTTTTAAGCAACAATGCTACCTTTTCTCAGCCACTCGATTTCCAACTTCCCTTGTATCAAGCCAGGCCTTGTTCTTTGAATTTTACAGCTGTATAGTAAACATGATGGCAAGAACAGCTTGGAGAGCTTTGCAGGATTAGGAACATTTGGAAATGCTAGCAAAAGAGGTTATGCTATTTTGAACTTCTCTTGACCTTTGACTGCCCTTGTCCCTGTTTATGCTAATTGAAGGGGTACATGGAGGCTACTCCTAGAAATGAACTTAGCCTGAACCTGTGACATAGCATTGGACTCTGAACATTTCAGTGCATGAGTTTTAGTCCCCCCACAAAGGGTTGTCATCTTCCTACATACAGGAAGAGTACAGTAGCTAGAACATGGCACCCTGAACAAATGCAGGAATACCTAAGACCAAAAGAAGCAGAAGAGCATGCAGATTTGTGAGCTGTATCTTTTCCCACTGTTTCTGACCAACTGTTAGCCTACTGAAGATGAATTTCACATGTGTTAGTTGGGTAAAATGCAGTGGAGCTTATGGGGAGGCAGAAAGAAGAATCTGCATAGTAAAATATCAGTCAGTTGAATATTTTGCTAAAGACTTCTGAAAATGTATGCTAAAAGCAGGGATTCTGACTGGATTAACTTCGGTTAGAAGGGATGTCTGGAGCTCATCTAATCCAACCTTCCTCATGAAATAGAGCTAGTTGCAAGGCTGGGTCAGGCTGGTCAGGGGCCTGTACAGTCAAGAGACTCTCCAAGGATGGAGATTCGCGGCCTCTGGACATCAGTTCCAGTGTTGCACCACTCCCACCATGGATTTTTTTATTTTTTCTCCCAGAGAAGCCCAGTAGGAATCTCTCTTTATTGCAACTTGTGACCATTAGCTTGACCTTTCACCATTCACCTCTGAGATTTTGGCTCCGTTTTTTCTTTAGTCCCACTTTTGAGTGGAAGACTGCAATTTGATCCCCACTTAGACTTCTCTTCTCCAAGGCAAACAAATACAATTCCCTCAGCCCCTCCTCATTTGTCATGTATTCCAGCCCCCAACCATCTCAGCAGCCCTGCGTTGGACTTGCTTCAGTTTGTCAACCTGTCTTGCACAGGGCAGCCCAGAACTGGGCACAGTATTCTAGATGCAACTTACCAATGTCATTACAGGGGGGAATAATTACTTCCCTCAACCTTGCTAGCGCAAGCCAGCATGTGGTTAGCTCTCATTATCACAAGCACACCCTAATGATTCGCATTCACAAGCTTCACCAGGACCCCAGGTCTTTTTCTGCAGAGCTGCCCCCAGCTGGCCACTCCCCAGCCTGTACTGTTGCATAGGGTTATTCAGTTCCCGGTGCAGGGGGTGGCATTTGTCTCTGCTGGACTTGGAAGTTTCAATCAGTCCTTTCATCCAGCTTATTGAGATCCTTCTGAATAGCAGCTCTGCCCTCCAGACCATCAATCTGGTGTCATCTGCAAAAGTGATGAGTGCACTCCATCCCATCACCCAGGTGTTTGGTGAAATAGCTAAATAATATTGGTCCCAGTATTGGCTCCCAAGGACCACCAATACCTGGCCAAGTAGTCTTTGAACTCGTGATTGCTACCCTTTCAGCCAGATAGCCCAGTTTGTTTTTCCACCTACTTTTCCCACATTTCCCCAGTTTAGCTGGAAGGATAACACAGGAGACTGTAAAAAGCCTTGCTTAAGGTTAAGGAAAATGACATCCACTGCTCTCTCCTTGTTCAGAGAGCCAGTCACTTCATCACAGAAGGGAATTGGGTTAGTCGGGCATGATTTGCTCTTAATAAACCCACGCTGAATGTTCCCAATTACCTTCCTGTCCCTGGAAATATCTTTTAGGGGGATTCGCTCCCTACTCTTCCCAGGGACTGAAGTGAGGCTGACCAGCCTGCAGTTCCCCAGATCAAGCTACTCCTGAGCAGAGCCGAGTAAAAGGTGATTCATTATCCCTTATCAGCTAATTTTACTATACAGAAACATTCCTCCCCTTTCCCCTACATTGGGGAAGAGCTTCTATAGCCTCACCTCAACACTGAAAATACATGCTGTTTGGAAAGGGGACTGGGAAGTAGGGTCATCCCATGGTAAATATTTTGAATTGTTTCCATTAACATGGAAAACAATCACAGTTCCTATTTATCAACATAATGAAAGAAAGATAACAGTTTAATGTTCTACATAAAGAGTTGTACCTACACTGTATTCTACAAAATATACTATCCAGACATTGCTATATTAAATGTCTGTTTACATTCCAAGTAAAATTCTGTTGGTATGGTATCTGATTTATTGATGCCATCAAAAGTCACAGGATTCCTGGAATGCCTCTTGAGACACAAAAATTGGAGCAGAAAGGAGATATGGGTTGCAGTGATATCGGCTTTACCATATAAGTTATGGACAAGATTTTCACGCGTCTTCTGCATTTTCTTAAACAGGGTGCAGTGCACCTTTTGAAATCTGACTGCTCCACTACTTAACTGGGTGATTTTGCTGGGGGGGTTCTTTCAAAAAACACAGTGGTACAAATGGAAGTGCTCTCAGAGACAGCACTCGAAACAGCAGAGTAACAGTAGGGCTGCTGCAGACAGTTACATTGCTACATTTAAGAGTACAAAAACATGGATAAGGGAAGGTAAAACAGACCAGCTTCTCTGCAGTAGCTGCTCATACACACACTCTCACCCAACTATTTCTCTAAAGAAAAGGGTTTGTATTAATTTTGCATCTTATTTTAGACTTCTAGGCTGCAGAAAGGGGAAATTTGCTACATATTTGTATTCCAGAAGCAAAGCTTTTTCTAAAAAAGTTATGATTATGAAAAAAGCCTCCAAGCATGTCTCAAATGCAAAGTGACATTCAGTCACTTAGAGTACAGGCAATCGGAAATAAGAGCCCCGAGAGGTGCACTGGGTATTCAACTCAATAGGGAAGAAAACTGTAATAATCAGATCTACACACATCTTACTAAAACACCTAATTTCTTTGCCTATGAATTGAGATTCTTGTCAATCTTTCTCCACAGATTAACACTGAAGTGTTTTAGTCTTCTGGTGATGTTCATTTTTACTTTCAAAAATGTTTTATTCATAACCAAGATTACATGTTCTGAAATCCTAAACAAGTTCCTAAAGCAGCCAGGCTTTTAAACATTACGACAGATAATCAATACAGCAGTGTATTTTTGCATTCAATTATCATAGACAAATGGGGACCTCAGGATGCACTATTTCCCTTGTTCACAAGGGAAAGATTCATCTGTTTTCAAAAGACAGCCTGTCCTGATTTGAGAGCAAGAAAAAAAGCCTACAACAAAGTAGTAAAAACTTATACTAAAATCATATTTAGTTGAATTTGCATTTCCAATTTGAATTAATAATCTCAGTTTGCAGTCTGTTTATTTTGGGCCTCTCTTCTCTTTAGGAAGATCTCGATATCCAAGATTTTCTTTCTACAAGCCTACTTCAATAGCATATTTACTCTCAACCTTTTTGATAAGCTGGATAGGCCAAGACTATCAAGCTGCCTCAACCTCTTTGGGCAATCCCCAGTATTTTAAGAAATCAACATTAGGTTTTTATGCAGCACTATACAACATTAGCATTCCAATGCAAAGCTGTCAGTATTAGATAAGCAGGAAATATAAAAGACCTTCTACTTACAACTTCCAGAGGATCACATCAGTGCTTTTTGCTACAGCATGGCAATGATAGGCACTTATTCTCTATAAATACCTTCTAACTGTTTCGCAGCCAGTGCTTCCCAGCATGCAATTCCCCATTCCACAGGCATGCTGTCTTTGTCCCAAGGCACGGATTTTTGCATGTGCTATACCTGGAGTATGTTTTGGTTGAACAGGATATTGCTTACTATGCAGCCCACACTACTTCAATATTGAAACATCAGTTGCATAATCACTCTGTAAATCTTTGTACTGTCCATAAATTAGTGGTAATCCTATATTTACTTTTTGATCACTGATAAAACGTTGGCTAACATCAGTCCTTGGCATACTACTATAGCAATATCCATCTATTCAGTCTAACGTATTTACCTACATTAAAAAAGAAAATTAACTGATGTTACACAAGAGTAGAGATGTTACTGATGTTTTGAGTTAACACCAACCCAGATTAATACTTGCCTGCTGATATTGACATTATGTCGTACAGAATATGCAATGAATTAGGTTCCAAATTAGCCAGTATGCCTAGAGATGAGTGCTTCCAGATGCCACACACCACTGCTTCAGACTAGAAACACTGCACTATAAAGAGATTTTTCCATCACAAAACAGGTAACGTGTCATTTTAATTCAATAGCCAGTGCATGAATGGTGCTGACAAACTGATCTAGAGAAGAGCAGACATGAAGAGCTCTGAAAACAACTTTTCCCTAACCTCAAGGCAATGAATTTAACAGCATTTATCTCCAAATTTTAATTAGTGTAGATAATAGTACAGCTTTAATTTTAATGGACTTCAGCTGAGCACTGCCAATGCCCACTAAAACTTTGCTCGCTACACTAACCCTTCCAACTCTGGAAATGAAAGAAGGAGACTAACTAGTACTTACTAGCAGACGAATCATGGTCTGTTGAAGGATCTTGACAGAATCCTACAATGTGAAAAATAGGTATAAGCGCTAGACATTTTAAAACAATTTTCCTCGTTGTCACCACACACACACACACACACACACACGACTTAAGTTTTAAAACCAATCATTGAATGTATAATGAACTTTAAAACATGGTATCAGGAACAGGGTGAAAGCTTTACAACTGCTTAGGTAGAGGATATTCCTACAATGCTTATAAAATAGGAAGGTTTAGTTACAGCAAATATGTTTACTGTATCAGATAAGAGCTACTGTTGGCATTCTGTATTTAAATCTACAACTCTTATTTTCAGTCTAGGGAAGTAACAGGTTTTAGAAATATGATATATTCTTAATTGTATAAATTGCATAAATCAGAGCTGTTGAAACAGCACGTTACATGAAAGAACCAAATCAATGAATGTGCTTAACATTTAATTTGTCAATGAGGGTACAGCTCTGGCTTCTGCTCTTTCATTTTTTGAGGTCCTCATTTCCTAAAGGCCACGACAACAGCCTCGTCACTGGATGCTCATGCTGTCCCACGCACATAACAACTATGCACCAGGCAGCTCACACCTTAACTCGGGTCAGTCAGATCAGCACGCCATGGGCATGAGCACGCTGATGCTGAACTCCTTCCTGAAGGCAGAGACACAAACAAGACGGCTGCTACGCTGTAGTTTTAGAGGTACCTGGACACCGAGAGCAGTCACAGCTTGCTGTGACTGTACGGTTTATTATGGAATGTAAGAGTTCTACGTCATGGTATAAACATTTTCCTTTCTATATTATTCCTTAGTTCAAACATCTCATTGAAGATAAATTACACTTAGCATCCAACCTGCCACAGTCAATGAAAATTAAGCCAGAAATGTAAGAGAGTCCCCATGACCAGTTTGGACTGAAAGTTTTGGGCATATCATAGCTTAAATGCTTTTAATATTAGAGTCTTCAAACTGCAGTAACCTACTTCAAAAGGCAATACAAGTTGCCCAATCAGGCACGTTGCAGTAAAACGCTCAGCTGAAAAGCACCACTTAAACTCAAACACATACTCAGTGGTGCTTTCATAGCTTTAGCATCACCTTAACATATGTGACCAGCTCATTACAAATTTATTAATAAAGTCTTTATTTTATGAAATTTATATAGTGAACTACAGCCTTCTAACCTCATTGACAGCTTCCCATTTAATCCTACAAATACCAGTATTTGGGGCTTTGTTAGAGTGAGAAGCTTACACTAAGAATTTGGCCTCCCAGGGATGGGGATTACGTACACACAAGAATCGAGAGAAATTTGATTCTTTCTCACCACCTACCTCTCTGCCTACTGTCTACAATGTTTGCAAACCGTATTAGCTCCCCTGCTGATTGCAATTCCAGAAACACTTTCCTTTCTCTTTCAGAGTCATTCCAGCCACATCTGTCTACTCCTAAAATCTCATTTTGTAGGATGCCATCAGCTTTTCAGTGCAGTAACACACAGCTAAGTGTCTTAAAAAGCACATCAGAAAATGTTTGAGAACTATCAAAGATTCCTCAGGGTAGAAGCATCATTCCTCATGTTTTAAAGATACTTGTCTACAGTTGCACTAGTAGATTACCTTAAATACAGGAAAAATGCCTACGTTATAAAGAAGGAAGCTCCCATTCTTCTTAATGGGAAAGTTATTTTGGAGTGAATTTAGTATACACTGTTGCTCTGAAGAAAAATCTGAAGCTTTAATTCTATTTTGAACCACCTTCATAAAAATAGCACAGGACTTCATGTTTTACTAGGTTCCATAACAGGCAGTTTACAACTTTGCTTTTTTTTGTCTCATGTTTTAAGAGTTATGATTACAAGTTTTAGACTTCTAAAGCAATTGTTACATTTGTTGCTATGAGAAATCTATGCATGTTACTCCTTTTGAAGCAGAGTAATCTACTAGGTAAGCAAATATCAGTGTTTAAAGATCAGCACTTTATAATTTTTTTCAAAATCAGACTAAGCAGTCGGTAGTTGCGATTTATCTCCCAAGCTTTTTCGTAGCAGCAAAAAGGCTGCTTAAAGGAATTATGCTCCTCAGTTTACTTCTCTGCCTCTCAGTATAGTGGGAGATTATTAAGCATATCAGAATCTCCTCTTCTGTATGACTTCACTATCAACTTTAGGAAAGTAAAGGTATTTGAAAACTTACATTCTACACAGCTAAAACATGAATGGAAAAATCACACTAAGTCATCAGTGAAAATAAGCTGGTTTCCTCGTTAACAGCTTGATGAAAAAGCCATGCTTACCCAATTTACCACTTTTTTTTAAATGGAAAATACAAAGACCACAGTGATCTTGAGACCCTGTTTGTTCTACAGAGCTTATTACAGTTCTCCTTCATCCCTAAAGCAGACGCACGTCACCTGGGTATGCTGGCAGACTGAGTCTGACCCGGGGGAGCCAGCACGTGCCACCAGCGGCCACCCTTCAGGGCTGTCCACCAGCAAACGGGAAAAGCTGCTCACACCATGCCCTGGTGCAAGCACCACCACAGCCAGGCCCACAACTGGAGTTGCTGCACTTCACCAGTGAACCACTTCGAAACGAATCACCGCTAACACCTATGAGCTACCGCTTGTGATAAGGGGCTCGCGCTCTCTCCCGAGAGCCTGCACGTGCTGAAGTCTGAAAGAGGCGTTACAGAAAGCCAATGATTTCAAGGGGCAATGAACTGAATTAAAAGTAGCCAGGCAACATTTTATTTGAGGGGTAATTTAGACTGATACTAGACTTGTGTGTGAGGAAAAAGATTTAGTACTTCATTTTATGTGCTGGGGATACAGGTCAAATAGCTGGAAAGCTCAAGTGTAAACGCTCATCTGCAAAGCTTTCATACATAGGGACAGTACACTTCTGCTGCTAAAAAATATAAATATATATTCATTACAACTCTTAAGTTGCAGTTTAACTTTTAATCCCTGCAATTTTAATCCCATGCAAAAGCATGAAGGGCTTGTATTCCTGCTACTCTGCAGGTCTACCTGGCATTGTCATACTTGCTGCATCTGTACAGCACAGTAATCCTTCAAAAGTCATCACTCGGTGCTATCATGAGGACTATTCCCTCTTTATGAGGCGAGGGCATTAACATGCAAGTGACCTGTGGGTCAGTCCACCTGGCTTCGGACCTGCCAGCCCACGCAGGACAAGACATGGGCATGGTAATCAACTCCTACACATACACATATATATATACATTCAAGAATATATGTTCATACTTTTCATTTCTCAATGGTATTCTCAGTTTTGCTAAATAAGGATCTGAACAAGTCATTGCAAACAACTGGCAGAGAATCAGTTCTGACAGCTATATTGAACTAAAAAAAGCCAAAAAATACCATGAAACAAAGAGGCTGATAAGTGCCAAGAAGCTCCGTCAGCTTCCAGCAGTATTTTAATCTTCCATCACTTAGTTTCTTGCTGTAGCACTTGACAAGCTGGTCCTGAATGGCAGACACTCGCCCCGTATTCAAGCAGGACAGAAGTGCCACCACACAGTCCATGCTTGTTCTGGTCTCATTTCTCAGGCGACTGTCTCAGCAGCGCTCAGCGTCTTCGTACTTACAAATCAGAGTGGAATCGCTCTTGTCAGTTTTCTCTCCTTGTATGTTATTTACAGATTAATCATTCTATAAAAGCAAAATAAGAACACTCCCACCTAAGCATTTGCTGCCGCTGTTCATCACTGTCACGTTTCACAGATGGCCCATGTTCTGCTTGGCCAGCGGTGTGGTGTAAGGCCTGTCATTTGAGCACGAGCCTACTTCACCCCCCATCCCACGACCACAAACAGTGTCCAAGCTTGCAAACATCTTACTCTGCTAAAGAGGTACGGAATAAGTGTTATCTTCCTTATCAACCAAAAGGACAGTTCATATAACGAGTTTCAAAACACCTAATCAACAAGGCTCAACTCAGGAGGCATGGGCTCAAAAAGAACACCAGAAAAAGGTTTTCCACATGAGAGTCTTGAAGATACTTCCAGCTACGTAAAAAGGCTGCAGAATTGGAATAGCCTAGTTTCAGAGCAATATAGCCCACATTAGTGATACTCTTGCTAATAGGGCTGAAACTTTAAATTCACACACTGACAGAATGACAAGTAGCTCGGTACTTTCACTGACTAAGAAAAGAGGAGCTAGTGTTTAAGAACAGGGAGATATTAAGTACCCCCATTGGATTTCTCAGTAAGCAAAGTAAGCTAGCACTGGCAAGTCTCTACAAAATAAAATAAAGTTTCCATTTCCAGACAGTTAAGTGTGAGCATGCAGTTTTACCCTCTTTACTTATGATTTCTACATATAACCCATTCTACTTTTCCAGAGATGTGCTTGCAACCATTCTGCACTGCTTTTCTGTGTCTCAACTGCATTCTTCCTACTTATGATCTTCAGCGCTCATCCAAGGCTACCATTAAACGTTTTACCAAACAGCACAGTACGCCATTGTATCTAACCTCTTTCGCAATGAGGAAAAGCCATAAATTTATTTCAAGACAGCTTTAGATTCAAGGTCATTTCAAAGCTTTTAATTACTAACTGGGATTTTAGGATTTTGTCCTTGGTATTTAAGAGCAGCTGGCAATCTCATTCATTATTAACTGTTACGCATTTGCATTGCGGACAAGTAATTTTTTAATACTTGACACAACAGTTACTGGCAAACAATGCTAGCTGAGTTGTGTACATGTGACAAGCACTGTCAATTACATACATATGCTCTAAGATTTGCTAATAAAGTATCCCAGCCTGTAATCTCAAAATATGTCAGAAACTCATGTTTAACGCACACTTAAGAAAAATAAGCAGAAAACTAGTATTCTGATGCAACATTCCCTAAGTTGTAAGAGTTAGAAATACTCCTTCTCAGCAGACAGAGGATGTACCGGAACACTACTCGTTATCCATATGGTATTTAATGGAAGGCAGCTATATGTCAAGAAAAGGCATTTAGCATTTCACACAAACATTACATGAATAAAATGTTTTGCCAAAAAACTTGGCTCATCTTTTCCATGAAGACAGCGCAGAAAAGGGTTTTTGCTCCCCCTCTCCGAGCTCCAAAGCTGCCCGTTGAGGTAGGCCACCTCTGTTTGAGGTCAACCTGGCCCCTGCTTTGCTGTCCCAGCGCTGGTGGGTACCAGAGAAACCCCTTGCACTCTCCACCCACTCCGGGACAATACCCGAACAGAGGAGCAGCAGCCACAGGGAGGCCACAAGCACAGCTCTCCCAGCTGGAGAGACAGCTCTGCAATTGAGGCCAACAGTGTGGGAGGGGGGACGACAGAAGAAACAGGACAAAAGGCTCTTGCAATGTGGGCTTTTGGCCTCCTACCGCCAGGAGGAAAAAAAAATCTAGTACTTTCCTGAATATGTTTTTAATGTATTAAAATGTTAGATGTGTTTTTTTTTTTTTTAAGTTACATTTGTTTCACATCTCTCTAGCTATTAAAACAGAAAAAGGAAAACAGGCAAAGCATTCTAAAGAAGTACCAAAATCTGTACCAAAAAAACTCCAACTAAACACCCATTAAAGCAGAAAGCAGCAGCAGCAGAGCTTCAGAGAACTAGCCAACAAGAAGCACCTCCGTGAGCAGGCTGCCAGCTGAAGGTTACCCAAGCCAAGTTTAAATCAAGCATCAGAAGAACAACT